GGGGGGGGGTCAGTGAACATCTGTTCAGAAACCGGAAGTGACAAAATGAGGTTGCAGAGAGTAAATAGATAGCAAACTTGTCAAGCCTCAAAATTGCGTGCACCTGTAAAACGGTGAACAGCTTCCATACCGCAAATTGTCTTCTGGCCACTGTGCCCAGGGAATGACCAGTGGCGTCACAAAGGGTTGCGGGGGGTGCGGCCTGCACCCCGGTGACACCATTGCAGGGGTAACACCAAAATGACTGACAGTTATTTTGGTGTCACCCCCTCTAAAAAGTCGAGCACTCGTTCATGGACCAAGAGCCCGATAGTGTCAGGAGAGAGGAGGGGACCCGTCGACATGCCTCATCCTGCTGGGTGAACGTCCCCTCCTCTCTCTGCCAGCGTCCATCACCAAGATGTCACGTGCACGCGTGATGACGACAGGACAGGGACCGGGTGACATCCGGCCTTGCGATGCCCCTGGGAATGACCACTCAGAAACCGGAAGTGACACAATCCTTGTAGCTTCTGGGTTCATTCACCAGAGGGGAGATCAGGGAACATGCATTCGCTGATCTCCCTTCTGGTGAATGATCCCAAAAATGACAAGGATTTATCACTTCCAGTTTCTGAGCAGTCTTTCCCTGGCACAGTGGCCTATGGACAATTTGGAGTATGAAAGTTGTTTCGCAGGTGCATGAAATTTGGAGGCATGACGAGTTTGGTATCTATTTCCTCTGTTCAACCTCCTTTTTGTTATTTTACCAGAAATGGGTATTATATTGTGTTTCTATGCACTGTATGGGTTTGGTAAACTGTTGTGCTAATATCATGTGAAATAAAAAATTGCAGCTGACACTATGTTATTCTCCAGGGTCTCGGCTTTCAGAACTGATATAAAAATGCAATAACGGTTCTGGTGGTGAAAAGGTTAAAGGAAACCTGTCATCAGATCAAAACTGTGGTGCCCCTTGCTGACCTTTTTCTCCCTTTCCTCTTCCCAGGTCATGTCCTTATACTATGTGCCACTGGCAGAGGGAGTCGCCCCGTGCAAGAATTTTGAATTCAGCGTCACCCTTGAAGATGTGCCCAAAAATGGTGAATAGCTGAGAATTTGTTCATTTTTTATGTGTGTATAGTAGCCCTTAAATATCCAGTCCAGTGGGGTCCAGATGTGGCACTCCAACAGTGGTTGAGGATGACCATGCCACAATCTGAGAGATCAGCTCTAGCAGTGATATAGAGAGGAGTATTGATTGAAGAAAAATGGAGAAGAAAAAAATAGGTCAATCTTTTAACAGCATAGCTGGAAAAAAAATGTCCATCCTCTAAGGACACTAGAAAAAAAAAACACAAAGCATGCTGGTAGTAGGAGGGGATATCCTGGGCGGGCCTACAATTTTATGGCTTGCCAATGTCCAATCCTCCTGCAGGTGGCAGTATAACCCAAGGTGAAAGACTTCCTGTGTCTCTCAATGAACAAGAAAGCAGTATTTTTGTTTTCAATATGTACACATTGGCATAGGTATCAGTCTTAGCGCTCATGCAAATGCACATTTTGCAGAGCAAATACAAGCGTATTTATAATTTATATAAGACATAAAACATGCATGTATTTGAGGTGCCCAAGCTACTGCGGTTCTGCATACAGGTGGAGGAAAGTTTCTGCGTGCAAGTCTTCCATGTTCAGAAACTTACCCCTGTGCACGTACAGGTGCAAATACCCGAGTACAGCATTTTATGCCCATACATTGTTGCTGCTGTCATTTTCTGTAATTTACAGATTTGCTAATTACAGATTTGCTGTAATCTGTTGCCATACTACACAACTGCACACCATGCGCTGCCACAATATATATGTTGTGTATTACATTGTACAGATTTCCACATTTTGATATCAGCATCCCTTTAAATCAGCGCTCCCTTTTGTCTTGCAGTAAAGGTGCCAATAGATGTCAAAAAATCCATGTTCATAAACATCTGTATGAAGTAAGTGTGCAATACTGTGAGAAAAAATAACTTTTCCTTATTTGTGACTTTGCTGGACTCGAGCCCGCCGGGGGTGAAAATGTTTTCTAGCTAACTAGTACACATCTGGGAGTCATCAAACCTGCTGAAAACAATGCACTGCCTATGCGGCCAATATCTGTTCTCAGCAGCTGGTAAAGCTGATCAAAGATGCCAGAGACTGCAGCTATGTATTAAAAGATTGTTAGATGTAATTTTTATAACATTCAATGTAAATACTCAAATTTGACTAGGAGTAGGGGCAGTACATGGAGTCAATCAGATCTACTACAGGAATGTGTGCTGACAAGGAGTAGGCCGACAGCTGCTCCTTCCCAGTCCAATCACAGGCTCGGGGCAGGAAGGTGACTAAGCTGTATTGGTTAACTGCAGTAGAGGAATGTCAGGTCACCATCTTGACTCTGCTGTCTGTACATGTCAGGAATATATATACCGTATTTTTAACTCCATAAGAAGCACTTTTTTCACCCAAAAGGGGGGCAAAAATGTCTGCACGTCTTATGGAGCGAATCCCTATTGCCCGACGCCCGGGACACGCAGTTTCGGGGGAGTCGTTTTTTTGTACATTCGGCCCTGCTCCGGACAAGCAGAGCTAAATGTACAGTGGGAGCCGCTGCTCGTTTAATACAAGTGATCTATTCAGATCACTTGTATCAAATCGAGCGGCGGCAACGATCGTGTCTGGGGCCCCCACCGTGGTTTTCGGGGTCCCCGGCTCCTCTGGGGGACCCATGACCACGGCATAGGAGCTCACCATAGAGCCTGTAGCGCAGACGAAGAACGTCCGTTCTTCGTCTGCTCTGTGTGATCACTGAGACCGTGGAGCTGTAATGACAGCGCCACCTGTCTCAGCTGTCACTAACTGCGGCTGTCACAGAACCCTACCATCCGTGCGTCCTATGGTCAGGCGCACCTTATGGAGCACAAAATACGGTATATATAGTTCCATGGGTAGCCACCGCATTCTATTTGTAAGATAAGTTCCCAGGTGCTCATTCACAAACACAAAAGTATTCATACAAATCCAAAGTAGGTATGGAGGCACTCATGGGTCTTGCAGCAATGATAAGGCAAAGCATCAGAATTTTATTGTCAACGTTTCAGTGGAGCTCGAGATTTAAAGATGGACTGAGCTCCATCGAAATGTTGCTTTGGGGTATCTCCACTGCAAGACCTGTGAGTTCCTCTGTAGCTATATATTTAATGTCCCCTGGATGACTTCCTTTCCAACACAAGATGCCCTCAGTCTTCTCAGTAGAATGGCGGCCAGATTCATTCAACCTGGAAGACTGAGGACATCCTATGAGTGCAGGACATCATTGGCCCACCCCTATAATTCAAACCTAACTCTGGGCTATTTGTTTTAATGGTCCCCTTTCTTTTCTAAAACCACCTGTAATACTCATCTTCAATCCGAGGATCTCCCCTGTACTACTACCTTTCCATCACAAGATGTTCTCAGTCTTCTCAGTTGAATGGTAGTCAGATTCATTCAACCTGGAGGATGGATGGACATCATTGGTCTGTCCTCTGAGGGGGAATCACCACAGCGCCCTAGTGTAGCAATGTAGCGAGCGGTGCTGACATCATCTAATCAGTGCCGCTTACCCCAATATTGAAATATTGACCACCCAACACACTGGGAGGAGATCCAAAGATGAAGAGAACCATGCGTGTCACATGACTGGACTGAAGACTTGTAGAAAGGTAAAATAACATACTGCCATGGAAGCCTTCATAGATAGAGGGGAGAAAACAATTGGCAGAGGGCTCAGCCCGGAGATGTCCTTTTATACAATAACAAGCTTTCAGAAGTGTAAGTCAGATCAAAATGTCTTTTAGATCAAACACTCCGGTGTTACCTCATAATATTTGTTAATTATACTTTCCCTTTAATAAATACCATGTAGTAGTAACAATTCCTTATTGCAGGTACCTTGGTGCCACCGATGCCACGATGACCATTGTGGACTTAACGCTGCTCACAGGATTCAACCCAGATATGGATGATCTCAGTGCGGTTAGTTATATAAGGGGAGGAGGTGGAAAAGACTATTCCAGTAGAACTTTCTGCCAAAGATAGTATCATGAGACTGAACAACAAAGCAGCCAACATTCCAAAAAGTATTATCTTCAACAAAACCCACAAGATAAACATGTTTCAGCAAAGGTGGCCATACACGCCTCACATTTCGATTGATTCTTACCAAATCTGCCCAAATTCAAGCCATGGGTCAGCACCACCTGGCTTCAATATAAGTGGTGTCATCTGAGTGGTGTCAACCCATGGCTCTAATTGTCGCCACCCTCTGAAATTGTTGCCGAACAGTGACTGCATCAAGTGAGTCACAGGTGCCGGGCCATCTGAATACCATAGAAATGAGAAACCTCTATGGGTGTATAACAAGCAGCAGAGTAGGGGCTACTAGAGATGGGAAACCCCCATTTGCACCCTAAACCCCTGGGTACCGGTCCTACTTTCTCATGTGGCCCCTGGAGAAAATGAATTGCCCACCCCTGCTTTAAATTGTATACAACTGAATATTTGCATATCTAATTGGGGTGGGGGGATTTGGAGGAGCCACTGCTCTGGCTCATTAGGTGTGTGTGTGTGAGAAGAGTTCATCTTGAGCTATTGAACTCAGTGAACTTAGTGACGCAGCTAAGATGAGAGAGGAAAACGTGAAAAACTGCCACTGTTCCACCTGCTGGCCAGATAAGAAAAAAAAAACAAAATATTCTTCTGCAAAAACTTTTTTCTTTCTTTTAAAAAAAAAAAGACCATGATAAATTCATAAATCAAATAAGAAAATATATACAAAAGTACAATATGTAAAGTTTTACTGAAAAAAATCACCCCCTAAAGTAATTTGTGGAAGAGGCACAGACAGGTCAGAAATACCTTTCCTTGGAAATTAGTCTACAAAAAGATCGGTCATGTGACCAAATTCCACATCATTGATCATGTGATCTCTGCTGCATAGCCTGTGTTTATATCTCCTAAATATGTGGGGGTTTTTTATCCTCTCTCTCTCTCTCCAGTTGACCAACAGGGTGGACAAATATATCTCCAAGTATGAAATGGATACGGAACGTTCTGAGCGAGGATCCCTGATTATTTACCTTGATTCGGTAAGGATTACATTTTGCCTTTTATCATAGTGTCTGACATAGGTAAAGTACCAATAGATGGGATTCAAACTGCATCTTGCACATCTAAGGATTGTAAACTACAATATATGACATTTTTGTTTTTGGGTTTAGATACACTTTAAAGTAACATTAAAGTCAAAAGGATTTTAAGCTACTTCAGATGCTGATTAAATCACTTACAATGGATGCTGCTTCTTGATGCTTAAAAGTCTTAGTTTCCTGCTGAATCAGTTGGACACCTGAGCCCTGGAACTGATATCCTGTTTAGGGTGGCTCCTTTCCCTTGCAGGGTCCTATGGATCCACCCTGGTGTGTGCTAGTAAGCGGTGTGTGTGTTTTGGAAAGGGGGGGAGGTGTATGGGAGAAGAGTGGGGAGAGACAACAGGTAAGCTATCTCCGTGAGTGGGCAAACTCTCATTGGCCCACGGAGCGGCGCCTCCCCCCTTCAAGTGGCACTCAGGGCACGTGCCATACCCTGGACTCACCACTGGGCAATGTATATTTTTACCATCGGGATTCATTATTAAAAAATGTTTGAGTCTAATACTACTCCAACATTACGCATGCTCCTTTGTTACAAACTTTGTTTCCCATTAATGAAACTTTTTTTTCCTTGAAGGTCTCCAGAACAGAGACACAATGTCTGAAGTTCAAGATCCACCAGAAATTTGAGGTCGGAATTCTCCAGCCGGCAACGGTTTCCATATATGAGTATTATGCCCTGGGTAAGGGTACCCCAGACCTGAGATGACAGTAGAAAGGCAATAGCCTGACAGTCCTTCTATAGAATGAATGGGAAATAAACAGAGCTGAGCACGTATACGAGCTGTACAGTATATTGACCTGCCAAGATCTTAGGTGTGCCCCGGCCCAGCACCACGCGGCCTCTGCTTCAAAATGAGTTGGGCCTTGTGCCTCCTGTGCATATGTGCTGCTCTGTATGTACTTTCCATTGGAGCGAATGGAGTTGGCATAGTGTGACCACTATTTTGAAGGAGGTGCCATGTGATGCTAGACGGGTGCATGCCAAAAATCTCTGCACTGCATAGATAGGGATACAGTATGTCCTTGCAGAAGAAGGGAGTGGATTGGCAACCACTAAAGGAAATGCATTTGATTTGGAATGGTGGTTGGTTGGTGGTTAGCTGTATGTCAGAAAATAAAGTAAATTTCTACAATAAATGTGCAGGTATTATCCCTGCCAGAAATGCGTTTAACGCTTAGGTCCTGTGGTAGTCTGACAACACGTGGCATTTTCATGGACTGATTGGTGTCAGCCCTGCACATTTCCCCTGTGTTAAACTACTCAACCATCACCCCCCCCTCAGATCTCTACAACATAAAGACTAACTGATCTGTAGTGCCAAGAACTAGAAGGGCTAACTGGGCTCCTTGAGATAAACAGGAAGTGTGTAAAGGACACAGGGCAGCTGTGATTTTCTGGCAGGATCAATGGGGTATTTTTGCACTGATTGAACAGATATAACAAAACACTTTCAGTGGTATATACAACACAGCTAGAGGGAGCAGATAGGAGAAGTTCATGGTTAGGGTTTACATACACTTTACATAAAACAAATGATATTGTATAAACCAGGGGTGGGCATCTGCAGCCTCCAGCTGTTGTTGAACTACAACTCCCATGAGGCATTGCAAGACTGACAGTTACAGGTATGATTTCCAGAGGCAGATGCATGTTGGGATTTGTAGTTAAAGCACAGCTGGAGGGCTGCAGTCCTCCATCCCCTGGTACAGACTCATGAAGATATATAATTGCACTAATCACACTTTTTTTTTATTTGTACCTTTTATTGATGTACAGAAAACATCTGCACCAAATTCTACCACCCCACAGAGGAAGGAGGAGAGCTGAAGAAGATCTGCAGAGAAGCCGAGTGTCACTGCATCTCAGGTGCCGTAGAAGCAAATCAGCAAACAGGAACGTCCTGGGCTTAGGGGGCCGTTATCAAGTCAGGTCTCAGGTCATCCTATATTGAATATATATTGAATGAATTGCTGCGTGCTGCACATAGTCTGTGCAGAGAACATAGCGGTAGGTGGGGTCCAGAAGCCCAAAACTGAGCTCCTCTGAACATGGAAGGAGCTCCTATGAATCAGCTGTGGCTGGGGAATTCCCTGCCCGCAGCTGTAAGCAAAGGAGCGGGATGCAGTGAGGTCATTGACCTTATATGGGCATGTGGCCATATAAGGTCAGCACAGACATCCCAGCCCTTTTATGTTTAGCTGCGGAGCGAGGAATGCCCCATCCTGCAGTTGATTTGACGTGTGACCCCCCAGGGTTCAGAGGAGCTCAGTTTCTGATCTGAGCTCATCCTTACTCCTCATGTCATAGCTAAGTAGGTCTGAATCAGCAACAAACCCTCAAACCAATGTGAACCAATAGGAGCTTTTCTTTCTGAGCTAAAAACCTCAATAATATGCAGTGGTGGTGGGGAATGGAAGAGAGGTGAAGTCACATAATCTTAAAGTAGAGCTGTAGTGGGAGAAATATGGAGGCTGCCATGGTTGAAGTCCAAGCTGCCTGGCTGTGCCTGGCTAATTTCTGAATCAATGACCCGGGGCAAGTATGTTGTAGCACCTGATGTGCATACCTTTTCCCGATCAGTCACTCAAAATGTATTGGGGTGCAGTGTGGTAGCCAAGCAAGTAACATTTCCAGAAGGACAGCTCTGGTACACGAGGAGGGGGTGGGGGTGCCAACAAACAACCCTAGGGATCTGGTTTAGGAAGTCAGATGATTCTGATCCTGCTCTGAGCTGTAGCAATGTAAAGAGTCCACGTACCAAGCAATGTAAAGAGTCCATGTACCAAGTTCTATGGAATGTCTCTCTTACAGAACAATGCAACCTGAAGAACACCTATTCAGGGAAGCTGGACGCTGTCTCTATGGTAGAGGAAGCGTGCCGCCATGGTGTGGATTACGGTAAGAGAGTCAAGACTTATGTTACAGGGTACTTTTCAGACAAGTGGCTGTGTGGACAGTGCAGTTCATTTATCATTTCAAGATTTAGTGTTTTGGCTGCCTTACATAGTTACATAGTTACATAGTATTTGTGGTTGAATAAAGACATACGTCCATCAAGTCCAACCCATATAGGTCCACGCATCATCTCATTCTTAGGGATACTGGTATCCCTGGATATTACGGTCCCTCAAGAAATTGTCCAAACGTTTCTTGAACAAATCTACACTCTTGACTGAAATCACTGCCGATGGCAGTGAGTTCCAGACCTTAACCGCTCTTACTGTAAAGAACCCTCTTCGCCCATTGTGCTGGAATTTTTTCTCCACCAACTTTAGGTGGTGGCCTCTAGTCTTTGTAATGGAGTTAATCTCAAACAGTTTGTTGCCAATGTTGCTGTCACCATTGAACATCTTGTACATGAAAATCATATCCCCCCTTAATCTCCTTAATTCCAGCGTAAACATGTTTAAGGTCAGAAGCCTTGTCTCATAGCTCTGGTCCTCAATTCCCCTAATTAGTTTGGTTGCCCTCCGGTGGACTCTCTCCAGTTCAAGGACATCCCTTCTCAGTACCGGCGACCAAAACTGGACCGCGTACTCCAGATGTGGCCGAACCAAAGATCTATGTAGAGGCACAATTATAGACTTGTCACTGCAATACATCCCCTTCTTAATACAGGACAAGACCCTGCTAGCTTTGTTTACCGCAGCTTGGCACTGCAAGCTACCATTCAGCCTTGCTTTTCTGTCTGACAGTGACGGGGAATCTTGGACCATGAATATAGGTCACTTGATATCCTCATGGCTTTGGCCTTCAATGTTTGCTTTATCTTGCTCCACAACCACCGGTTAATCAGCTGACCACAGTCCCATGAAGCCTCGAGTCTCACATGTTGGTCAGCAGCTGTCTGCTTGAGTTGGCTGCTAAGCTTTTGGATGTGTCCTGCTACTTAAACAGTCAATGAATGATAGAAATCACCAGCACTCTGTAAATGAAATTCCAAAAAGTCCATTTATTTGGACTAAACGTCACACATATAATAATAATAATCCAACTTTTTGGGACCACGCAGGGTCCCTTCATCAGGGCAGAGATGTACACGGCGTCATCCGTGATTGTCACTGCTAGCACCACTATTTCCACTTGGACCGGAAGCGCTGTAAGGAGTGCAGGGGGACCTTCTGTTTTCTGGAATCTACTACTTAAACAGTTCTGGCCATCCCAAAAATGATGAAACAAGATCAAATCAGAATTTAGAATGGACCGAGCCATTAGGATAGATGGGGGAGATGCGATACCTCTCTCCTCGTAGCATAATCTAGATTCCCGAGTGCTACAGTTACATAGTAACAAAGGGTGAAAAAAAGACACAAGCCCATTGAATTCAACCAACAGAGAAAACAAAATAAATAAATACATAACCTCCATAAACAGAACCTTATGTCCAGAGGAAGGCAAAAAAAACAATAAAGTATGGTACACATTGCAATTTGGCAGGGCATTGTTTACAAATTCACCCCACAGGAGGGGTGGTGGTCAGGTGTCCACAAACCTTTGGCCATACAATGTAGATACTCTGACATACACTGTCATCCACGGAGGTATAACCCACTCTGTGACCTAACGTGAGGCGTCTACATGGTCAGCAGGGGCTGCATTGTGGGGTGATGTCAAACAGTGACATGATAAGAATGTATTCAATAATAACTATCTTTCTTACAGTGTACGAGGCCAAAGTGAATAAAATTGAGACGAAAGGTGCCTATGATGTCCACTTCATGACAATCGTCAGAGTTGTTAAACAAGGTAAGTGTTCATATTTCCCGTTAAATAAATACTCAGTGGGCATGTTATTAGGCACACCTACCCAGAACCAGATAGGACCCCCTTCAGTCAGGACAAGGTCATCAAGTGCCCAAGGTGAAGATGCCAAACTATGCCCCCATGATGTGCATGCCCAGTTGTCTTCTGAAAATGACATCCCACTTCCAGCCACCAGTGTGCTGGTCTCAATGTCACTGTGCAGCTCCAGGTCTACCAATCAGGTTTCACATGGAGCTGGAAGTGACCAGTGAGATCTTGGGAACTTCTTGGTGAACTGATTGTGAATAGCATCCCACCAGCCAGAGGCAAAATGAACAGCAGGGCGCGCATGTGATGAGCATACCTGGGAACATTCAAAAGTTGGGAAGCCTAAGGCGGAGTGAAGGGTAGGGCAATGGGAGGGGACAATAGTGATGCACTTAGAGCACTGTGGCCAGATATGAGGCTTACAGAGCCATGGTTTGATAGTGAAAGGCCTTTAGGAGGTAAATGTATGCAGTAACTAGCGGAGGGGACACAGTATGATAGCGGGGTTGTTGGTGAAGTGGTTGGGACGAGCTGGGGAGTTGTACACATTCCTTTCAGAAACCCCCTGGAGACAGGCAGTACAGACCACAGCATGGCAAACAGAATGAGGCAGAGCAGAATAGGCAACATACAGCATGGCACATGGAATGATACAGAGTAGAATAGGCAACATACAGCATGGCACATGGAATGATACAGAGCAGAATAGGCAACATACAGCATGGCACATGGAATGAGGCAGAGCAGAATAGGCAACATACAGCATGGCACATGGAATGATACAGTGCAGAATAGGCAACATACAGCATGGCACATGGAATGATACAGTGCAGAATAGGCAACATACAGCATGGCACATGGAATGATACAGAGCAGAATAGGCAACATACAGCATGGCACATGGAATAAGGCAGAGCAGAATAGGCAATGAATAGCATGGCACATTGAATGAGGCAGTGCAGAATAGGCAACATACAGCATGGCACATGGAATGAGGCAGAGCAGAATAGGCAACATACAGCATGGCACATGGAATGATACAGTGCAGAATAGGCAACATACAGCATGGCACATGAAATTATACAGTGCAGAATAGGCAATGAATAGCATGGCACATGGAATGATACAGAGCAGAATAGGCAACATACAGCATGGCACATGGAATGCGGCAGAGCAGAATAGGCAACATACAGCATGGCACATGGAATGATACAGAGCAGAATAGGCAACATACAGCATGGCACATGGAATGAGGCAGAGCAGAATAGGCAACATACAGCATGGCACATGGAATGATACAGAGTAGAATAGGCAACATACAGCATGGCACATGGAATGATACAGAGCAGAATAGGCAACATACAGCATGGCACATGGAATGAGGCAGAGCAGAATAGGCAACATACAGCATGGCACATGGAATGATACAGTGCAGAATAGGCAACATACAGCATGGCACATGGAATGATACAGTGCAGAATAGGCAACATACAGCATGGCACATGGAATGATACAGAGCAGAATAGGCAACATACAGCATGGCACATGGAATAAGGCAGAGCAGAATAGGCAATGAATAGCATGGCACATTGAATGAGGCAGTGCAGAATAGGCAACATACAGCATGGCACATGGAATGATACAGTGCAGAATAGGCAACATACAGCATGGCACATGAAATTATACAGTGCAGAATAGGCAATGAATAGCATGGCACATGGAATGATACAGAGCAGAATAGGCAACACACAGCATGGCACATGGAATGAGGCAGTGCAGAATAGGCAACATACAGCATGGCACATGGAATGATACAGAGCAGAATAGGCAATGAATAGCATGGCACATGGAATGCGGCAGAGCAGAATAGGCAATGAATAGCATGGCATATGGAATGATACAGTGCAGAATAGGCAACATACAGCATGGCACATGGAATGATACAGAGCAGAATAGGCAACATACAGCATGGCACATGGAATGCGGCAGAGCAGAATAGGCAACATACAGCATGGCACATGGAATGATACAGAGCAGAATAGGCAACATACAGCATGGCACATGGAATGAGGCAGAGCAGAATAGGCAACATACAGCATGGCACAACACCACCCTCCCCCAGGGGTGACAATGCTGCTGTCCATGGCTGGCTCAGTTGCTCCTCCATAGTGGATCCACCTTAAAAATCCACCAAACTAAGAAAACTCCAAAAGAGGTTTTATTGGATGAAAAATATATATGTATATAAATTATACAATTATACAGATATATATTTTTCATTTTACACTTCCAGCCCTGATGAAGAGGGTCTGTGTCTGCCCCCGAAACACGTTGGTACTTTGATGCTTTTATTGTTACCAATAAACACTCCTTTGTACTCTTCTTTGTTTGACCTTTCACCTCTATTTTGTAACTGCTGACTGACAACATGTAACCATCTTTATATATAGACTGCGCTTTAGGTCCTACGGGAGAAAAGTGCCTTGTAAGTGTTTTCTGTTAACCCTTCGATATTTAAACAGGTCACATGACTCTTCTTCTAATCATCACTCTCCTGTAGGATCAGATGAAGTATTAGATGGTGAGGAGCGCCAGTTCTTCAGCCACAAGAGCTGCAGAGACTCGCAGGTCAAGCTCCAGGACGGCCGGTCCTACCTTATCTGGGGACACAGCAATGATATCTGGGACATAAAGAAAGAGTGAGTACAGACTCAATAGATCAAACGGGAACTGCGCATTCATTTAGAGTCCCCACTCTCATTGTATGCAGGGGCCTAGCAATAATGAACTCCAGGGAAACCCAAAGAGCTTGCACTCTAAAGGAGAAGAGTCAGGGGTGTATCCACAAGGCAAACAAGCCGGGCCACACAGAATCAGGCAGTCTCAGCTGCCTAATCAGGCAAATTAGGCGGTCGCCCATGAGGCCTCGCGGCCACCTAATTTGCCTGGGTGGGCTGCCTGGTGGAGGAGGAGGTGGGGCCGGGGCCCAGTGAGATGCGACCCGGCCGGTGGAGGTGGAGGAGAAGCTGCACGCTGCTCTGGGCTGCCTGTACACCACGATCTGACGGTGGGATATCTGCACATGCTGGGAAGCTGCACATGTGGGCTGCACAAGGTGGGCTGTACAGGATCTATGGTGGGCTGTACAGGATCTATGGTGTGCTGTGCAGGATCTATGGTGGGCTGTGCGGGTTCTATGGTGGGCTGTGCAGGATCTATGGTGGGCTGTGCAGGATCTATGGTGGGCTGTGCAGGATCTATGGTGGGCTGTGCAGGATCTATGGTGGGCTGTGTGGGGTCTATAGTGGGCTGTGCTGGGTCTAAGGAAGGCTCTGCAGGGTCTCAGGTGGGCTGTGCAGGATCTATGTTAGGCTCTGCAGGGTCTCAGGTTGGCAGTGCAGAATCTATGGTGGGTTCTGCAGGGTTTATGGTGGGCTCTGCTGGGTTTCAGGTTGGCTGTGCAGGATCTATGGTGGACTGTCCTAGGTCTGTGGTGGGCTCTGCAGGGTCTATGGTTGGCTGTGCAGGGTCTATGGTTGGCTGTGCAGGATCTATGGTGGGCTGTGCAGGATCTATGGTGGGCTGTTACAGGATCTATGGTGTGCTGTAACAGGATCTATGGTGGGCTGTAACAGGATCTATGGTGGCCTGTAACAGGATCTATGGTGGGCTGTGCAGGATCTATGGTGGGCTGTAACAGGATCTATGGTGGGCTGTAACAGGATCTATGGTGGGCTGTAACAGGATCTATGGTGGGCTGTGCAGGATCTATGGTGGGCTGTGCAGGATCTATGGTGGGCTGTAACAGGATCTATGGTGGGCTGTGCAGGATCTATGGTGGGCTGTGCAGGGTCTCAGGTGGGCTCTGTGGGGACTATGGTGGTCTCTGCGGGGTCTCAGGCTGAGACCCTGTAGAGTTCACCTGAGACCCCACAGAGAAACATTAAAGAACCCACATAGCCCACCTGAGAGCCCAGTTTCCCTGATACGCAAATAGCGCAACCTTTCAGAAGCTTGATATATAGCGTTTGCGCTTTATCCAGCCACTGACAGGTTACACATTGGACAAAGTCATGGCAGTTGACAGGGCTGAGCCACAATTTGGGAAAAGTCAGAGGGACAGTTCATCCGCTCGAGGAACCTCCATCTCCGTATCATGGACGTTGAGTGGCCCTTAGAAATGCCATTCAGCCCTCACTGGAGTGGATATAAACAGGAAGGGGGTGCAGGAGATCAGCAGGAACAGATGGGAAATCTTCTAATGGGGACACTAGTTCCAACAGGGATTTCTCTCACTTTGGAAGGATCTCCTCTCACTTCCTGTTGTGGCTTTTGGACAGGAAGTGAAGGGAAATCTCCCCAATGGAACACGGATGGCAACAAAAAGTTGAGTTCCGCTTTAGGAATATACATATCACTCTCTCGGAGACTTGATGTGACCTTTGACCTGTCTTTTAGGAAGTCCTACGTGATCAACGGTCGGACCTGGTTCGAGATCATCCCCACCAAGCGGGAATGTGCCACCACCGAGCAAGCCAAATGCGATCAGCTCTACGATTTCATGGACCATCTGATGATGCGAGGCTGTAACCAGTAATCCGCCCCGGTGTAGTGACGTCCGCCATCAACGTTACTCTTCTGTCCTCTGCGCCCGTGTGCTTCTCACCCGTCTAAGTTCACCTGCCCACCTCAAGAAAGGAAGGATGAAAAAAAGGTGAAAACAGAACTTTATATTAAAAAACCTGGACATCATTTTAAAAGAAGATGGCGGGGGATGGGAGGCGATGGTGAAATTAAGAACTGTGACAATTAGAAGGGTCGCTTAGTAGCGCTGAAGTAGCACATTATGGGAACACCATTACCTAAATAATAAAAAATCTATCCAATGTAATATAGATATTGGACACATAGTCCTCTTTACATGTGCAAGTTGTATATCTGTAAGTCCGTTGCAATAAAAATCTTTACCAGATGGAATTTTTTTTTGCTGCAGATCTGAACTTTTCTTCCCCATTCAGTTGCCAGTACAAGGAAAGAAGTATTTATTTATGGCCACTAGATGGAGCCGAGGAGCATAGGAAAGAAGTATTTATTTATGGCCACTAGATGGAGCTGAGGAGCATAGGAAAGAAGTATTGATTTATGGCCACTAGATAGAGCTGAGGAGCATAGGAAAGAAGTATTGATTTATGGCCACTACATGAAGCTGAGGAACATAGGAAAGAAGTATTGATTTATGGCCACTAGATGGAGCTGAGGAGCATAGGAAAGAAGTATTGATTTATGGCCACTAGAGTGGTTCTCAACCTGTGGGTCGGGACCCCTTTGGGGGTCGAATGACAATTTGACAGGGGTCGCCGGGAGTCTCCCACTATTAGATAGCTTTTAGATTATCATCATTATTATTAATAATAAAAGCTGACACCCTCGGCTTGTGTTATATGGTTTGCCATTTTAGCTGTTACATGGAGCCGGGGAGCATAGTAAAGAAGTATTGCTTTATGGCCACTAGATGGAGCCGGGGAGCATAGGAAAGAAGTATTGATTTATGGCCACTAGATGGAGCCGGGGAGCATAGGAAAGAAGTATTTATATATGGCCACTAGATGGAGCTGAGGAGCATAGGAAAAAAGAAGCATATCTGTAAAAAATAAGTCAAGGCAACTGGACTTGCTGTATTTTTCTTGAAGACGTTTCACTGGACATCCGACCAGCTTTCTCAATTCAGAATGACTTGTACAAAACAATTCTCTGGGAATAAATATGGTGAACGTCGCTCCAATCCACATAATATGTTAGTCACAACCAGGTGTTTATTGCATTTGCATAATTGGAGCTAGGAGGTGTTATTAACCTGCCCAGAGAGAGGTGTTAAAACAGCATTGTATGTGGCAGACAATAGGTGTCTCCCTATATATATATATATATTTGTGGCATCTAGATGTAGCCGAGGAGAATAGGAAAGAAGTATTGATTTATGGCCACTAGATGGAGCCGAGGAGAATAGAAAAGAAGTATTGATTTATGGCCACTAGATGGAGCCGAGGAGCATAGGAAAGAAGTATTGATTTATGGCCACTAGATGGAGCTGAGGAGCATAGGAAAGATGTATTGATGTATGGCCACTAGATGGAGCCGAGGAACATGGGATAGATGTATCATCCTCGGCTCCACCTAGTGTCCATCATGTGGTATTTTCCTGACATTACATTCCTTCCGCACAAGAATACATTAGATTTTTGCCCTGTTCACACAGAGTGAATAATTGTTTGGTGCCTTCTCTGGCACACAGTTCGGACTCTGAATTCAGGTAACCTCTGTTCCTAAAAGGGGGCTCCCGATTGGTGGAAAGCTGCCTAACACAAGCCATTTGGCTATACTAAGGACTTAGGTATATAGGTTTGGGATCCGTATCCAGCACCTCGTTCCCATCTCTCTTCTGCGTATGCTCTATGTCTCCCTTTTTGGAGCTAGACAAGGCTGAGGATTCTCCCCATTACTGCCAATCACCAAGCCCCCGGGATGTACCATCAGAGGAAGGGGATTGGGTCACATGCTCCTCCACACCCATTACACCCGGGTATTTCTCTTCTCTCCTAACAGGTACACCGTAAAGGAAAGGATGGTTTGTACTGCTGGGGAGGGGAAGCTGAACATCGGATGGTGACAGTGGTGGGGAAGCTGTTGTCCAGACCCTCACAGCCAATGCCCAGGGACAGGGGAACAGGAGGGTCCACACACTTACTAATCCTTGCAGGACACAGAGTATAAAGTTTCCCAGGACAGGCCGCCTCTCCACCAGAATGGGGGTGCTGCGCTGCACTGCTGTCAACCTGGGGGGGGGCTGATAAATTAATTTACCACTTGGTCATATGTGCCCCACCCCCATGAGGGACACTTACAGACTGCCCTTAGGGATATCATGGGGGCTGTCTCAGCTGACCACACACATAAGTAAGGATCTGCATGCTCTCAATGCCTAAGCTAGGGTGACTACACTATTGGGGGTTGTCACCCAGATCAGCAGTTGATTGAAAGTCTTGAAGACTGAAGAAAACATATAAATACCCTGAACAAAGAAAGGAACTAAGATTCCCACCACGGAGCTCTCATCCCTCCTCCTGGACACTAGACAAAAAACTGGGCTGTCTCTAGCTGATGGTGTGCTTGGCCACCATCAGGCTGTGTTTGTGTCTAGTGTCCTGCTCCTGAAGGTGGTGCTATAACCCGATGGTACAGATCCAAGATCTTCGCTGTGTCCTTCAGTGAACAGAAAAGCTTTGGCTGAAATCGGAGGAGACGATTGTTGGAAGTGTTTTGTTCCATTCCGACAGGAAGTCATAAACCACTTTTTTGGACTGAAGAGGAACAGATCCCATCCTGGCGATAGAAATAATCCCGCTGAGTCTTGTGTGTGAAAAGAACAATATTGTGTAACACAAAGAATGTTATTGCTGAGAGTTTGCCGTTTCCCTTCGTCAGCTGGCAATTGTTCAACTGTTCTTAAAGTAAACTTGAACTCTCAGATCAGCTTTACCATGCCAAAGTCATTTTCCATCTTTGTAAATCTTCAGCCTCCAGTAAAATAATACCTGATGATCCTGCCATGAAGATCCTTGTTCTGGTGCTTCCTGTTATAGGGTGACAGCGCTCCGTTCCTCTCTCCGATTGTGCCTCTGCGTTGTCACCCTGTCAAAAAGGAGTTTCAGTTAAGGCTACAAAATAGGGTTGCCATCTTTTCTTCACGTGAAACCCGAACACTCGAGCACAATATAAAAGAGAGAGCGAGGAGAGACAGCCAGGAGACCGGCTAAGGAGGACTACAAATCCCAGTAATACATTATACAGCAATACAAAATAATATGAAGCTACATACTCTGGGTTGTTCCGGGGTGGTGGCCTGATGTCTCCAGGATCTCAGGTGGCCTGTGTGGGCTCTCATCAGGACTGTGTGAGGTCTCAGGTGGGCTATGGGGGCTCTCAGATGGCTGTGTGGGGTCTCATGTAAGCTATGCAGGGTTTCAGGAGTGCTGTATGGGAAGTCTCACCTGGGGACCGGAGGCAGGCAGCGTTCTGTCAGGAAGGAGCCAGAGGAGGAGATGTGCGGGATGGTGCCTATTTACACGCACCTGCAGCTCACAGGAAGATGCGGCTGCCTGAGGTACTGCGCTTGCTGGGGACCTCAGCAGCCGAATCTGTCAAAAAATGTAAAGTGCCGGTATCGGCACTTAGTGTCTTGTGTCCGGGTGTCAGTTGTCTTGAAATTCCAGACAGGTGGCAACCCTACTACAAAAGGCTGTTGCTTTATACACAATCAACCTACTGTTGTCACCATCAAGAAACCCGCTCTGAGAAATGCCGCGCATCCATCACTGGAGTACATGTAGACAGGAAGCTAGACTTTATTAGAGTCCATTTAGAGTTTATATCTACCTTCCCCCACTTTACTAAAGAAAATCAAATTTATTTCAGTGTATATGGGTGTTGGAGAATTACACTCACTTCCTGTCTGGGAAAACATGGTCAGCAAGACAGGAAGTGAGGGGAAGTCTCTCTAATGGTGCCCTGGACTGCAGTAAAGCGGAGCGGAGTTCTTACCCTTCCCAGATCCCATTTTGGCTCTTTAATTCTGATCCCGACTTTTATGAATAGTTTAGGTCGCCACTTTGATCTCTCTCATATTAAAAACTTTCCCTATTTTTACCACTCGGCCAGGTGACAACCCTCAGAATAGAGCATAACACAGGTGTCCTGGCAGGGGGTCCTTATTAGATCAGAATTGTGATCCAAGAACATATGGGAGATACATTACACCCGACGTTCCCAGACACGCAGCACGCACACTCCGGGTCATTGCACGATAATACAAACACTCACATACTATGGACTGTGCTATGGCAACCCATGGAATCATTGGACGTTATATACACAGACACCATATGGAATAAATATTTTAGGACAGAAGAGATGTTTATGTGTAGCAATTAATCATGTGACAAAACATTTTTTTATTCTTAAAGGATTATTTACAGGGCTATTCACAAAAGGGTGAAGAGTTTGGAGAAGGCAGGAGAAGGAACAATCTAGTCCAAAATAGCTGAACTGGAAAAATTCTCCAATTCAGGTCACTTTACAGATCAGCTATGTTGTCCTAGATTGTTCCCTTCTCCTTCCTTCTCCAAACTCTTCCTTGTGTGAATAACCCTGTGTGTGTTATTATGTAGTAATAATATTAATACTATTATTGTTACTATTACAGTACGTGTTATTTTTAGGGCCAGAGAGGGTGGGCAACTGAATAAGAAAATAAAGATAAAGGTCATCCAGAATTCAACAACATGGACTACGCTGAATAAATGATTTAATACCTTAAATAAAAAGTGATGTACATCGAAAGAACTAAAATAAAAAAGAATAATTCATTTTTAATTAGATTAATTAATTAATCATTTGACTTATTTTTTTAACTGTAACTAATTATTATTATTTGTAATTCTAGGGGAA